TGGACACTTAGGTCAATTCTCTGTCCTGTCTATTTTGAATAATGACACAATGTAGTGCAGCTAATGCTCCACCAGATGGACCTCATTTCCCTGGTTATACACTCAGAAGCGGGGTGACTGATCATGTGGTTGACACAGTGCAGTTCACATTGTTCTCCGCAGTGGCTGCGCTGGTGCACACTCCAGCAGTGCGTGCCTTGGTGTTCTTTCCTCCTCACTCCCCTGCCCACGTTTGCTCTTTGTCTTTTCTACATCAGCCATTCTAACAAAGGGGAGGGGAGAGACAACACCACACCGTCTCACTCAAATTTGGAATCTCAAAGTGAAGATCTTTCTGAAATAGAGTAGATTGGTGGTGATCAGAAGTTGGCAGTGGTACAGGGATGGGGTTGAGACATCGTGGGCAAAGGATACGAATGGAAGCTAGAGTCTGAAATTTCAACTGTTCTATATTGAATTGTTGAAGATGTTAAGAAAGTGGATATTAAATGTTATGGCCACAAACATATTGTGGTGTGGATAATGCATACTATAATTAGCTACATCCAGCCAGCCCATGGTATACAAGGGCTTCAGAATATCATACCGTGCATGGTATATAAATGTATCTGTCAATTTAAATAAATTTGAAAATACATGACATTTATCCAAAGTACTGCTCTGCAGATTTTTATGCAATTTCCTAATGAAAATAGTTCAAAGTGTAATTCCCTGTCCTGCAAATGAAAGCGTACATAAGGAACGTGATGTCCACGTATCTCTGCTAACACTCTGGCTGGCACATTTCCCGGCCCAGTCAACCTCATCTTGCACACATGCTGCATAGATTAAACTCCAATTCTAAGACACACAGAAACAGAATCAAGACATGGTTTGCAGAAGACACTGAAGGTTTTTAGCTTTTCATACTTTGGACGATATTTTTATTAAGAAAACCAATGCACACATTTTCTCACATTTAATGTTTGGTTCTATTTGTTTTAGGGTATGATCAAAGAAAACTCCAGCATTTTTTCACAGGTTTAACTCCAGAACATAGGGCCCACTCCTCCGAGGAGCAGCTGTAGGTGAAGCAGAATCCTCCCGCAGTGTCCTCTCTGACACCGCACAGTCTGCAGGCGCTGTCCCTGCAGCTCTGCCTCCTGCAGTTGGGCACACCCTGAGGGAGGCAGTGGGGAGGAGGCAGTGGGGAGGAGGCAGGCCCTGGCCTCTGGGGACCCTGGCTCTGCCCTGCTCTCTGGTGCCGGGCCCAGCATCTCTGCTCCACAGCCCTCTGCATTCACTACACTGGTGTGCGTTCTTCACCCCCAGTGCTCAAGTGCAGACTGTGTGTGAGACGTGAGCGCCCTTGGCCTACAGATGAGGAGAGGGAGGCTCAGCTGGATGCTGATCGAAGGGCGCAGGCTCCTTGAGGGTCAAGGTCTAGGAAGCAGTACTGGGGCCACAGCGCCACAGCAGCTCTCTGGCCACATTGCTTCTTGTGTACTATTTTGGGTGAGCAGTTTTTGTTTGTTACTTTGCTATTTATAAAGAAACACATCTTTAGCATATGGAAGTCACAAATGCTCACATGCCTTCTGTTCCTGTATGTGCTGTCAGCCCACTGAGTCTTCTCCACACTTCTAAAGTGACTGTAGACTTCCCCAGGGCCACTGTTTCTGGCTGTCGAGATTGAACGAGAAGACTGCTGCTCTAGATGCAAACACTGTGCCCTTTGCCCTGTATCAAATGTCCACCCATAGCACATTGCCCACAAGATCAAACCTCATTTTACAGATAAGGTTACTTTTCGTTCCGCATTAGGGCCACTTGTGTTTGATACTACTGACCATGCTCTCACAAAATACTTCCAAGCATTTTCTTCAGTGCTGTTCTCTAGTTTGCCCTTCACTTTGCATGAAACTTAGTATTTTCTCCCAAGTTTCTGCTCTCTTTCTGAAACTTAGGTAATATTTGCAGCTCATGTCTTATGACACTTTTTCTAGCTTTCCAAAATGTTAGGTGACTATGCCTCTTCAGGTTGATTCAAACAATGGTTCAGTAACCTTCAGGAATCAGAAGGATTCACCTTGTGTGGTCACCCAGGACACTGCTCCCTAGTGCTCAGCAACACAGCTCAGAAAAAGGCTATGAGTTCAGTTTCCTGAATATGACTGAGTGGACTTAGTAATGATAATATGACTCAGTTTTCTCTTCAATGGTAAAGAAATACAGTGTTGTTCATAACAGTGTATAAACTTCAATTCATCATTTTAGTCCTCATGACATTAGGTTGCCAAAGTCTAGTATTTGTTTTTGAAAATAGTTCATGCATGTTCCTCATATTTATGATGTAGAACTGATCTTCAGAATGCTTCATATATGAAAGTGTTCATTAGCTGTAACTTTGTTTTATAATAAACGACTTCTGTAGAAATGAAATGGAGAGGTATGACTAAGGGAGAGAGCACAGTGAGGATGTCTTTGTCTGCTTGGGCTGCCATTGACTATTTCTGCAGGCTGAGTGCACAATGCCAACAGTATGTACTTAGAGAAAACAACAGGAAGCCTCCTTAATTTCCAGTCTGTGTACAGCTGGAGGCCTTACACACTGTTGGAGGAAGGAAAACAGCACAGCAGCTGGGCAGAGGAGCACAGCATTGCTCCACAGAATTAAACCTGTAGTTACCATAGGGTAAAGAAATGTAACTTCCGAGTCTGCAGCCTAAGAAATGGAGAGGAGGGTGCAAGAGGTGACAGACACCAATGTGCAGAGCAGCCATGGTCACAGCAGCAAACCCACGGAAACAATGTGTGCATCAACTGAGACGAATCAGAAAAATATTTTTATACTTGAGCCATAAGCTTGACAGACACCAATGTGCAGAGCAGCCATGGTCACAGCAGCAAACCCACGGAAACAATGTGTGCGTCAACTGAGACGGGTCAGAAATATATCTTTATACTTGAGCCATAAGATATTCACCTTGTGTGGTCACCCAGGACACTGCTCCCTAGTGCTCAGCAACACAGCTCAGAAAAAGGCTATGAGTTCAGTTTCCTGAATATGACTGAGTGGACTTAGTAATGATAATATGACTCAGTTTTCTCTTCAATGGTAAAGAAATACAGTGTTGTTCATAACAGTGTATAAACTTCAATTCATCATTTTAGTCCTCATGACATTAGGTTGCCAAAGTCTAGTATTTGTTTTTGAAAATAGTTCATGCATGTTCCTCATATTTATGATGTAGAACTGATCTTCAGAATGCTTCATATATGAAAGTGTTCATTAGCTGTAACTTTGTTTTATAATAAACGACTTCTGTAGAAATGAAATGGAGAGGTATGACTAAGGGAGAGAGCACAGTGAGGATGTCTTTGTCTGCTTGGGCTGCCATTGACTATTTCTGCAGGCTGAGTGCACAATGCCAACAGTATGTACTTAGAGAAAACAACAGGAAGCCTCCTTAATTTCCAGTCTGTGTACAGCTGGAGGCCTTACACACTGTTGGAGGAAGGAAAACAGCACAGCAGCTGGGCAGAGGAGCACAGCATTGCTCCACAGAATTAAACCTGTAGTTACCATAGGGTAAAGAAATGTAACTTCCGAGTCTGCAGCCTAAGAAATGGAGAGGAGGGTGGAAGAGGTGACAGACACCAATGTGCAGAGCAGCCATGGTCACAGCAGCAAACCCACGGAAACAATGTGTGCATCAACTGAGACGAATCAGAAATATTTTTTTATACTTGAGCCATAAGCGAGGAAGCTCTAACATATTCTTCAGTAGAGGCATTTTAAAAATATGATACAAAAGAAATACCTTAATCACAGAACTATGACAGCTGCTAGATTCCAATTTAGTTCAATGAAATTCAACATAGACAGAGTAGAATTGGGGTATCCATGGTGGGAGGAGGACAAGAAGATATTTAATAGACACAGATCAAGTTGGCAAGATGGAGGAAGCTCTAACATATTCTTCAGTAGAGGCATTTTAAAAATATGATACAAAAGAAATACCTTAATCACAGAACTATGACAGCTGCTAGATTCCAATTTAGTTCAATGAAATTCAACATAGACAGAGTAGAATTGGGGTATCCATGGTGGGAGGAGGACAAGAAGATATTTAATAGACACAGATCAAGTTGGCAAGATGAAACTACTATGGAAATGAATGTAGTGAAGGTTGTACAACATTACATATGCACTTAATTCCACTGAATATATGTAAAAATTTGGGAGATACTAATTTTTTGTTGTTGTTGTTTTTTGAGACAGGGTCTCACTATGTAGTTCAGACTGCCCTTGAACTCTCTGTGTAGACCAACATGGTCTCAAACTCTCAGCAATCCTCCTGCCTCAGCCCCCTGAGTGCTGGGATTACAGGCATATGCCACCTTGACTGGCTTTATGGAGTTGCTAAATTTTATGCTTTGTATATCTCATCATTAGACAAGTTTGGAAAAAAAGAAAATGGCAGAGGGTTACCTAATAAATTTTGCTTTGTTTAGTCATTCAGGAAAAAAATGTACATGAGATATATAACTGTGTGTATCTATTTTCTATCATAAATACACACTCATCAAAAAACAGAGATGACAAGCCAGGCATGGTGGCTCATGCTATAATCCCAGCATGTGGCGGGCTGAGGCAGGAGGATCACTGTGAGTTGGAGACCAGCCTGGGCTACATAGTGAGTTCCAGATAGGTCTCAACTACATAGTGAGAACCTCTCTCAAAAAACCAAAAAAAAAAAAAAAAAAGGAGAAAAAAAAGATAGAGAAAAGCCATATAAATCCTCGAAATTTGTTACTTTTCTTCCAGTTGTATATTAAAGACAGATGCAATGAAAAAAGAAAATGTGAGTTTTCCCTATGCTTTTGTGCTGCTGGGCTTCTCAGAGTTTCCCTGGCTGGAGAGGCCCCTCTCTGCAGTGGTCTTGGTCTCCTACATCTTCACCCTGGTGGGGAACAGCTCCATCCTCCTCCTCTCCCTGGTGGACCCCAGACTCCAGATGCCCATGTACTTCTTCCTGGACAACCTCTCTCTGCTGGACCTCAGTCTCACCTGCACCATTGTGCCCCAGCTGCTGGCCAACCTCTGGGGAGGATACAAGACAATAGCTGCCTGGGGCTGCATCACACAAGTCTTTCTTTTCTGCTGGACAACCTCCACTGAAAGCGCCCTACTGGCCATGATGGCCATTGATCGTTATGTGGCCATCTGCCGGCCCCTCCAGTACACTCTCATCATGCGTTCCTGGGTCTGTGTGCAGATGGCAGCTGCCTCCTGGTCCAGTGGCCTGGCCTATGCTCTGCTCCAAGCCATACTCACCCTGCAGCTCCCTCTCTGTGGGCACCACACCCTGGACCATTTCTTCTGTGAGCTACCTGTGGTCCTCAAGCTGGCCTGTGGAGACACCTCTGCTAATGAGCTGGCCATCATATTGGCATCTGTCCCTTTAGGAATGGTGAGTCCTCTGCTAGTGATCATCTCCTACACCTTCATTGCTAGAGCTGTACTGAAGCTGGCTTCAGCTGAAGGAAGACACAGGGCACTCAGCACCTGCAGTTCCCACTTGCTGGTGGTCACCATGTACTTTGGACCAGGCCTGTACTTGTACCTCCAGCCTTCATCTAAGAATTCCCAGGTCAAGTTCATGTCCTTTCTCTACTGTGTTATCACCCCAATGCTCAACCCACTCATCTACACCCTGAGAAACAAGGATGTGCAGACAGCATGGAAGAGGATCCTGCAATCCCAGGGTGGGGTGATATTTTAAAAGCGAGAAGATCACTGCCTCTCTCCTCAGCATAACATCCTCACATCAATAAACACAGATATATCATATCTACTTCTCCAAAAGTTTGTCCATGACCTCTAAAAATATTTCCCAATTCCCAAGGTCAGCTTCCTTGATGACAGGAAAGAATTTTGAACTGAAAGTTCTCTCATCATTTGTCTCACAGACAGCTTCTGTAAGTAGTACCACAATAAACATTAATGTTCAAGTATCTCTATTTTATGCTGACTTTAACTACTTTGATAAATACATAATGATTTATGGTACCTCTATTTGTAGCTTTACTTTTGTGTTTCTAAAGGTGTGTCCATATTGATTTCATAGTGGCTGTACTAGTTTACATTAGCACCAAAAAATGTGTAGGTGTTGCATTTGCCCTATATCCTCACCAGAATTTATTTTACTTTGTATTCTTGATAATACCATTTTGATTGGAGTGAGATGGCATCTCAACATAGTTCAGTGGCTATAAGCATTGAGTATTTATCATATATGTGTTGTGTACTTCTTTTAAGAAGTTTCTTTCAGATGTTTGTCCCATTTTCTGAGTTCCTTTTATTTCTAAATATTAATCATCCATCAAATGAATACAGAACTAAGACTTTAACCCCTGCTGAAGATTGTCCATTCATTCTCATTGTTTCCTTGGATATGTAGAATGCTTTTAAATTCATGAAATTGCTTTGGTCATTAGTTGCTGTTATTTTCTGGGTTATTAGTTCCCATTCAGGAAATCAGTATCTGTATCAATAAATGTTTCCACTGTGTTTTCCTTTACAACTTTCAAGTCTTTGGTCTTGAAATGTCTTTGGTACCTTTTGTGTTAATGTTTGCATAGGGTGAGACATGAGAATCTCATTCCAATCTTCTACAATCTTCTTGTTTCCAGTTTCCCAGTATCACTGGGAAACAAGCTCTTTTCTCCAATATGTGTTTTAGCTATTCTTTTGAGATGGTCTTTGTCCTACTTGATCTGTTTTTATCCACTGGAATATGCCACTCTGTTTGAAGGAGGGGAGGGGGAAAAGATGAAAAAAACCATGAAGATATGTCGTGTAATGTTCCAAATCTTCACAAGGAATGTGATCATTATGTACTGCAAACATGTACTAATACAAACCTTAAAAACAAACAAAAAATAAAGTCTCTATAGGATATTTTGAAATGAAGGTGTTGTGGTACCACAAGCACTGTTCCTCAGGATTGCTTTGGCTACACAAGATCTTCATTACAGACCCTTCTACATGGATTTTAACATTTTTTCTTATTCTGTGAAGAATAAAATTTGGGGACCAGTACAGCAGAGGAGACTTGCAGCACCTCATGATAAGGCACACCATACCACCATACTTGGTAAGTCAAAGGGACCAGCACCTCCCATCAGAACCTGGTCTAACTTCAGGGGAAAGGCAGCTGTAACTTGCAGTAGAGCCTTGCAAAGTTCAACCCAGCAGGAGGTCAGACATCTCAACTTGGGCCTTGCAGCCAAATATCAGCCTGATATTTTTTCTTATATTTGTTCTTTTCCATTATTTCCTTTCCCTTACCCTTCCCACTTCCCTACAACTTTAGCCCTTTACTTCCTATTTCACCTTGTCAATTATACAATTTGGATCTTATTTATGCTTTTAGCTTTGAAAGGAAAAAATTGAAACAAAGTCTTGGTAAGTAGAGAAGGGTGGAGGGAGAGAAGGGAGGGCAGGGGTATGGGGAAAACATGAGAAACAAGATCTGTCATGTAAAGGTACAATATCCATATGATAAATGTAACTGTACTGTATACTTTAAAAGTACTAATAAACTCAATGAGAAAAAAAAAACAGCCTGAACCTCAGGGGACAGATGCTGGCTTACAGAGACTAATTAACTTAGATCTGCACACTCCTGCCCAAGCTGTCTATTGTGTCAACAGAGGCACATCCTACAGAGAGGCCCTCTATTTCTATTGTATTTTTTATTTTCCAAATAATATTTTTTCTTATCTTTAATCATTTAAAACTTGTATCTAACTTTTTTCTTTTCTCAATTTTTTCCTTTATCTTCTTTTTATCTTGTTTTCTCTCTCACGCCACCTGCCACCTTTATCTTCATTTCATTCCCTTTTTGTTCCTGTTCCTATCCTAATTTGAATTTATTTTCTTTCTTTTCCTTTTCTTCTCTTTTTCCTTCTCTCAATTACCATTAGTTTTAAAACAAGTGATTGCTGTCTCCAGCCTCCCTACTGCTGTTAGTTTGCTCTGTTCTCCTGTATATTTTGTTCTGTCTCCCCTCTTCCCTCCATCAGCTTCCTAGTGCTTGTGTGATCTTCCTGTGTCCTCTGACCTTGCTTCTAGCCTTTCTCTATCTTATCTATCTCTCCCTCCCCAATTCCTTCTAAATACCTATCCTGGAGGGTAAAAGTGCTGTATTGAAGAGTTGATTCACAATAAATATATTTGGGGCTGGTCCTCAATTTTTATTTCATTCACATGGTTAAAGGTGATAGATTAAGAGCTACCACAAATTGTCATTTTTGAAGCTGTGTTTAATGCTATTGTGTTGCTGATAGTATGACTTGGGCTAAGATGTTATGATTGATCTGATCAGTTGTCCTTCCTGGTATAATGAAAAGGAGAGTGACTCAGAGTCATTAGAGACTCGAAAGCTAAAGATCAGCTATGTCTGGAAGATCAAAGTGTTAACCAAGGACATTACAAATGACAAAACAGAAATCAGAAGACATGTAAACAAGACACAAATGCAGACTTCCACCTCACCAAAGATAACCACTGGGGGAAATGAGGTGAAAAATTCTAACAGTCAACCATCTGGACACCCTGAACTGACAGCACAGAAAGAAAGAAAAACAGGTAAAACAGAAACAGATTTAAAAAATAGATTTCCTCAGGACCATGATAGAAATAATGAATGCCCAGCATAGGAAAGAAATGGAAACCTTGAATTCCCAACATAGGAAAAAAGGGAGTCCATGAAACAGATTCAAACAAATCCAGGAGATTAAAAGCTCTATAGAAAACATTCACAGCAGAATGAACAAATGTGAGGGTAGGATTTCAGATATAAAACATAGGAATGTGAGATTCCCCTCTACTGTGCGGCCTGGCCTGATCTATGGGCCTCTTCTATAGCTGTGCCTTTCTCTGCAGGTGCCATTGATTGCCTGGACCCAGTGCCAGAAGGGTAACCATGCAGGTGCTGCTGACTACCCCCCCCCAGATCCTCTGATTGTGCTAGTCTTTGGATGCACTCTGCAGAGGCATGGCTGGCTATAAAGGGTGGTAATTGATCCTATTGTGTTCCTGATTGTATCAATTGGGATAAAGGATAGGGATTGATTTCATGAGTTGTTTTCTCAATTATGAAAATGAGAATGTCTATAAGTCTTTAGAGAATCAAAGGCTGGGATGCAAGGATATCAGGAAGATTTAATGACCCAGAGATTGAATCAAGGGCAACCCAACAGCAAAAATAAAGATGAGAAAACACTTAAGCAAGCCACAAAGACAGACTTAAAGTCCACCAA